GGGGGGGGGGGGGGGTAATTGGGGAGGACAAAATATCTTTAAAAAAATAAAAATTTAACAATTTTCACCCCCCCCCTCATATTCTTTTAAATTCCCTCGAGCCCCCGAAGTAAAACAGAATGGTTTAAAAATTTGTTGGCTGTGGTTCACTATATGATTTGACTGGTATCGATGGACGGTATATAAGACTAGATGAGAATTAAACATTGTTAGTATAGTCACAGCTCTCACAGTCAGAGGGTGGCAAGACCTCCAAAGATGCTCTCCAAGGTATTCTAATTTTTTCAACTTAAAAAAAAATTAATGTTAATTATAACCAGGTAACTCTGGAATAGAAAGTCTATTTTTAAACTCAAGTTATGACTTTTAATAGCGCATTGAACATGAGACACAGCAATTGTGCAACGTAAACAGACCCATTTTACTTAATCTAATAACGTCTTCGTTAACGTCCAATAATGTCTTCTAAGAAACATTTTTTAACACAGAAATTGATTAAGTTTCAAGAATCCTTAAAAAATGGTTTGCTCAATTGTAATCTACAGAATAAACTGAGATTCTTTATTTAAGGTTTTCTTCCTCACCCTAGTGGTTGCCCTGGTATCCTGTGATCCGGAACCGGAACCATCTGCTGACCCAACAGCTGACCCGTCAGCTGATCCCAGCGCCTGGTATGGATACTATGGATATCCTTATGGATATGCTAGATACGGGTATGGATATTATGGACATCCCTATGGATATGGTTACTACGGACGCAAGAAGAGATCTGCTGAACCCACCGCCGTAGCTGCCGCCGATCCATCTGCTGATCCCTCCGCCGATCCCTCTGCCGATCCCTGGTATGTATATGGATACCCCTATGCCTATGGATATCGTTATCCTGCCTATTCCTATGGCTATTCTTATCCCTACCTCTACGGACGTAAGAAGAGGTCCGCCGAGCCTACTGCCGATCCTGCCGCAGAACCATCAGCCAATCCATCTGCTGATCCATATTACACATACGGATACCATTATGGATATCCTTACGCATACGGTGGATATTACCGTCCCTATGGATACTATGGATACTATGGTTAAATGATTTTGTCAAGAAAATCGTCCTTCTTCTTTCTCTAACTTTGACAGCACTTCAACTCTATTGTGATAAAACGAAGAAACAAAGCACAATACAGATTATTTTTGATAAAAATAAAATTTTGCTTAAATTGAGGATTTTTTTTATAGTTTAATGACTTTTGATAGATTCTTTTCATTATATTATTTATTTATCTATTTAAAGTATTAATCTCTGTTTTTCTGTTTGGATTTCCGATCGTAACCCCGGGGATATTCTGAGCTCGATTCTACCGTTCTACGTATATATCCATTTATATATTTATATATATGTATTTATATAGATTAGTAATTTCTGTTTGTCTGTTGTTTGGATGTTCTCAGCGTTATAGTTTAAAGGGAAAACTCCAGGTAAAGCTGGGTTTCCAAACTAGTATATTATATAATTACTTTTTGGTTATTTCATGATTAACAGAATTAACCTGCAAAGTTTATAACAACAAGAAACATAAAAACTAAATCTAACTAACTTTTATCCTTTCTTTAAAAAATTTAACAGTTTTTAATCAAAAGTCAGATCAATAAAATGTCGACCATTTACTAATAACTGGCGGTTTGTTCACTAAAAATTAACCTCTCTGTGTTAAAAAATGTAGATACTATTTTTTAACATAAAAAGTTACTCATCTTTAATTGAAAAAAAATTCTTTAAAAAACATCTAGAATCTTTCTAAACACACAAGGAAACAATGATGTTATGTTTTTTACGAGTAAATAGAAATTCACAATCAGTGATGAGAGATATTCTAATCGCTATGAAAAATTGTTTGGTCTGGTATCTTTGGTCGCAGTAAAATTTTGCATTATGCAACAAAAGCTTTATAACTTTACAACCATGTCGTATTCCGTTGATATTTAAAAATGTAAATTCTGTTCTATGAAAAAGGCAAATTTTGAAATATAGGTAGGCATGAGTAGAAAAGGAATAAAATTAGAAAGTGGAAACTAATGAATGTGCACAGCTAGTAATGAAATAAATATTTCAAAAATAAATGATTTAAATAATAAAAGAGAACTAAAAAGCTAAGATTTTATCAAAATAAGATTAAAATTGTAGAGTGACAAACATTTGGTTTGATTTTTTTATAGATATTGGGACATCATCTAAATTCATATCACAATTATCGAATATATAATATATGTCGCCAGAGCCCAAATACTTAAAAACAGGGTATCCTTATAAACCCAGTATGGGAAACTGGGTTTCAAGCATGGGGTACAGCAATTTTGTAGATTTCAATATATTCAAAAAACTAATTATTTCATATGGTTAGTTTCATTTTCTCTTTTTATTGGCTGAAATTTTTTTGTGGACACTCAGGGGTGGCCAGGGAGTGTTAAAGGCTATACATTTTTTTAACATTTTTTTTCACGAGCAACGCCGGGCCCTTCAGCTGGTCATTATTATTATCATTCTAGTTCTTTACGACTTTTGTGTGCAGTTTAGCATTCGCTTTTTTTTTAAATGTAAATGCAAAGTTCTGGAGAAAACAGTTTTTAATGATCCCTGCAACGACTGCAACCTTCAACCGTTTTTGGTTTCGCAGAATTCAATTCAGCTGGATCATTCGGTTACTTACTGATTCAGAACTTAAAGGGATTCTTAGCTAAATTTCTAGTGACTCTTTAACTGAGTCATTTAGACATAAGAATCTACGAAAACCGGCCTATTCATCGAGTAGTTTTCATAATAATTCATCGAGTAGTTTTCATAATAATTCTTCGAGTAGTTTTCATAATAATTCTTCGAGTAGTTTTCATAATAATTTATTGAGAAGTTTTCATAATAATTTATTCAGTAGTTTTCATAATAATTTATCGAGTAGTTTTCATAATGATTTATCGAGTAGTTTTCATAATAATTCATCGAGTAGTTTTCATAATGATTTATCGAGTAGTTGTCATAATAATTTATCGAGTAGTTTTCATAAGAAATTATCAAGTAGTTTTCATAATAATTTATCGAGTAGTTTTCATAATAATTTATCGAGTAGTTTTCATAATAATTTATCAAGTATCTCACTGAAAGCATTTAATGCTTAAAAGTTGCCCAATTATATATTTGTCCAAGTCTAACTGCATGGTTAAACCAAACCTGTTAAATGATTATGAAGTAATAATATATTGTAGACCAAGAAGTTCATAAATACAATGAGAATTGAATACAAGGAGGGGGCGATAGGGTTTCCGTACACTTTGCTTCGACGTTTTTGGACTGCTGAAGAACTATCATATATATATAAAACAATACAAAAAAAGATGCAGATTTTGTAAAAAACATTTCTTGCATTTTAAAAATTTTAATGGAAATTGAATGTGGTTGGAGGCTAATTTTCTATTCAGATATTTATGCTGGAATATATTTGAATCAAAAGTTGCAATAAATTAGCTATTTAGATAAAATATTTGAAATTAAGGCCCAAAAATTTGCTTTCAGGCCAAAAAAAAATTGTGGAGGGCTGATCGCCCCCCAATTTCTGTTGTTGTTGAATATGGGCCCAAAGATTGGATTTGAGCCTAATTATATCCTCTCTCCGGCCTAGACCCCTCTTTTGGAGTTGGCAACACTTCCTATCGCCCCCTCCTTCTATTCAATTCTCCTTGGTGAGACCTTTTTATCTTATTCAGCTTTATCTTGGCGCAGTTTTTGAATATTTGATTGATTCAATCTGTTAACTTTGAGCCTTCTTTAAAAGTTCTGGACTTCATATAAAGCTATAGATCTAAACTGCTGAGAATTCAAGTTTATAAAATAACAATTCCAATAATATATGAAATGCCATAGATTTGGTTAGCAAAAAAGTTTAACAAAACTTAAACTGATCAACTCTGTGTGGTATATACAGAAAAAAAAACAGTTTATGTACATTATTTTATTTCGGGTGTTAGGGGCTTACTATCAATCTACATACTTTTCTCTATAGGCCGGTCATCTTTTATGTATGTCAATCGAATTGAGAGATTGCAACAATAAGTATTATTCTTTTAAAATGTATCAAATTAAATTTTAAAAAAAAATAAAATGCGTAGGTTTGATGAAGCGTGGCGTACATTTATTTCTATATTTTCTGCCAAGATTGCGTTATTATTTAAAGATTAATCTACGCTTCACTAATCTCACTGAGATTACTTGAAACGTAAATAATAAGGATTTTAGCACAGATTCACACCAAGTGTTAAAAGAATCATTTATTTTATTTTTAAAAAAACCTATACAGGTTGTCCCAATAATTAATTAAAAAGGTTTATAAAGGATTTTTTTATTTAGTTTTGTAATGCTTCCTGGGAGCTTGTTATAAAAAATTCTATGCTATGCAAAAAAATGATTTTTTTTTTCTTAGCTTTTTGAGTAAATAATAAAAAAAAGGTGTCTCCTATAACAATTTTGCTTCTGTAAAAACTGGAAAAATACTATATTGGGAGTCCCTGTATAAAGGCAAAAAGATTAATGAAATCAATTATGGCTGAATAAACAGCAGTCTGTATCTTAAACGTTTTTGATGAATTTTCATGTTCTAACTAATTCAATTAACAGTTTACGAATCTGACTTCAATCAAAGGAATTAAGGTCTTGCCACAAACTCAGATTTTTTATCCCATTATTTTTTGCAAATATATTACAAAAATATCCATAAAAAAATTATTTAAATTTTAAGAAACATTGGCCTGGGCCTTGGATTGATAGGATTTTGCCAATAACACCTTTTAAATTGAAGCTTGAAAAAAGCATATTAAAGTTTTGAAATATTTAAGTCCAAAAAGTAGAAAAAGTATAAGTTGGTGCGGAGGTGGAACCAAACACCAAGTCGTTGCGACACTTCAAAGTCGATGCAATGATAACAGGTTTGGAGCCCCCCCCCCTCTAGTTTTTTTTGTCCTAGCACTCTCATTTGTAACATTATCAACGTGAAATTTTGTGACTTTTAATGAATAGTAATTTAAAGAATTTTTTTGTTAACATTTTTTTTTATTTATAGGGTTTGGTTCAGGGCAGAAAAAAAGTTAGGTCTGTGAAAAAAATCTAAAATAGCCTATAACTTTTTTGTGACTAAAGCTACAGATCTAAAAACTATATTTTTGAAAAGCCCTTAAAAAATGCATGTAGAAACATGTGTCACACTTTGAGATTTGTTTAAAAGTAAAACAATTTCTATTTCATTTTTACCCTTTTTTATGCATTTTTTCAACCCTCTCTAGCGCCCAAACTAATAAAGTTATCGGTCTAATTTTTTTGTATGAGCTGGCCTTGAAAAATTGGGCTATGAACGTGCATTTTAACATAGATTCAGACCCCCCAGCCTTTATAGGGTTGAAATCGGATCTTTCGTAGTTGTCTAGATATCTGTGAGGAGAAATAAGGTTTTTTGATATTCGAGATCCAGTTTTTCAAAGAATTAAACTGATAACTATCTTCACTTCTCATGCTCTAACTTACTTAGCCATGTATCATTGCAACCCTGATGTCATAGACCTTTGATATTTCAAACTTTACTTCATGATCAAAATTCCTTTCACTTCACGCTCAAAATTCCTTTCTCACTCATCAGTTATTTTGTATGTATTTGCAAGTTTTATCAGTTCTGCTTTCAAGAGCTTCTCTACAGAATTCTAGACCATCATCCTGAGGTATATTTGTGTACAATCCTGTAACATCTACAGAGAATAGAATAGAGTTGGCTGGTAAATTATCTTTGTCAACTTCTTCAATTCATTCTAAAAAATCTGGAGTATCCTGAAGATAAAATGGGTGTAAATTTGAAAGGGGTTTCAGAAAATTGTCCGCAAATAAACTTATATTCTCTGTGTAACTTCCTGAGTCGCTGATAATAGGCCTACTTGGTGGAGTATCTCCTGGAATGTGAGTTTTATGTACTTTGAACTGCTGACAAAACTTTGCTGTATTCTTGTCATCAGCCAGCATAGCTTTAAGTTCTTCAGTTGTGATGAAATTCTTATCAGCTGCAGTATTTAAAACAGACTTTATCTGTTTCTTTGTTTCTTCAACTTCCTTCTCTTCAACTTGTACATAGTACGGATTTAGTGTTCCATTCTCTTGCAGTTGTTTAGACAGGATTCCATATAACTCTTAAATTATGATTGTACCCTTATCACAAGGTTTTATTATGATCATCCGGTTTCTCTGAAGACTGATCAACTCTTTAAGAGCTGTTAATTCTCCAGGAGGTAGGTTAGGTCTGATTTTATTCTATTCTCTGGGTCTAGGATTTCTGATTTAACTGCATGACAAAACATTTTAAGGTCTTCTGGTGGTTTATGATTACGAGGAAGGTTAATTTTTCTCCTTTCTGAAGATTGAAGGATGATATTCATGGTCGTCTTCCTGAGTGGCAAAAAACTCCCTCCAACGCAGTCTCGTTTCAAATTTAGAAAAATCTACTAAAACCTGTGAAAGATTAAGAGATAATGGGGTAATAGCAAAGCTTAAACCTCTGTTGAGAAGATTGTCTTGAGAAAGTTCTATACCAGAATAGTTAAAATCCACATGTAGCTTTTTCCTAGATTGTTTTCTTTTCAGTCACTTCCATTTTGACTTCTTTATCCATTTTCTCTTTTGTTTTGGGGGATTTTCTCTGAGGTAACTATAGATTTATCTTGTGCACTACATTTCTTGGACAGCCAGAGCTGAAAACTTTAGAACAGGATATCCTTAATCCGGATCTGTTAATTTACTCTTGAGATTAAATTCATGAAAAAAACAAGCCATATTTAATCTGGATATTAAGTAAAAGAGTGGATTAAGCATTAATCCTGATATCCACCATTCTAAAGTTTTCAGCTCAGATGAGTTTTTTGTTCTATGTTTTAAAAACATATTCTGATATGCTGCATTCTTCAAAATAAGGCGTTATCTAATGGTTTACCATGATTCTTCTGGGTTTAACAAAAACAATTCATCTCTTAATTTTTCTGTTTTGAAAAGAATGTGCTTCTCTGTAGTCCTCTCTTGGTTAATAACAATTTTTATTAATTGTTTTGAAGTTTGTTTCTTTGTGTGAGATCACTTAGCAACAAATCTTGAGGATTGGTTTTGAGGTAAATTAGAGATTTCAAAACTTCTAGGAATTAAATCAGTTCTTAAACATTCTTGTAGAAACACTCTATTTGAATTTACGGAGTGAAACATTCTTGTGAGAGACATCAGTCGATTATAGCAGAGTCTTGATTCATTGGAATTGAGTCTTTGCCACAAATTCAATTTTAGTAAAACCTATATCTTTGCCACCTTATGGTGTAAACCTTTGATATTTCAAATTTACATTATTTGATCTAACAGAATTCATAGTTTGAAATATTAAAGGTCTACGACATTGGGTTGCAACGATATTGAAATTAGAGAATCAGAGTTTGTGGCAAAAACTCAATTCCTTTGATGGTTTTTTGTGGAATGATGTGTAGAGGATACTATTCTGGTCATTCTAAGTCAGATGGTGTTTACTTTATTTAACTGTGTTGTATTATACTACGGTGGTAGGCGATAATATCAATATAATGAAGGCGATTTTTTCTTTAAGTTTTTCTTGTTATTCACAAGTTTACAAGTAATTAAAGAGAAACTTTTTAAATCGACAGCTTCTCTTTGTTTCTTTGCTTTTCTGTATCAGTGCTTTTTAAAAGCTAGATATAAATCAAATTTGAAATGGAAAATCGTCTTCATTATATTGTTATACTCGTCTACCACCATATATATATAAATATACACATATATGAATTGATAAGACAATAATTTATTTTGTTTTTATTTGTTTTTTGACAAAATTTATTTTAAATTTCTAAAATATTCTACATTTTTTATATATTTGATTGGAATGAAAAATGTCCATGCAAAACTAGAAATTAACATAGAATTGTTAAAACAACATTTTTTACTATTCAATAATACTATTTATGCATTTAAAATTTGTTTTGAAATAACGATTTTTTTATCTCGCTGAATGGCGATTCGATCTTTGGTTCATTATCTGTTAATTGTTATCGAAAAATGTTGTTCATTTTTAACATGTTTCGGTTGTTCACAAAACATTTGTCCAACTCTAAAGGGGGAGGATGATTATCTCCCAAAACCCCACTTCTATCTGCCCCTGATGATACTTCTAAATAAATTGATCTTTTTTTTGCCTGAATTAATTAAGCGCACACCTTCACGACGCCAGCTGATGTTTAATTTTTAAATGAAGAAAATGATTTTTCTTGTCAAATCCAGTTTTAAGATTAGTTTGGCCACCGCCCACATGCAGCAGAGGGAGAATAGTCCGAAAATTTTTTTAACAAAAATTTGTTTTTGTCTAGATCAATTTTAATTTTGGACTTAAAGGGACTTTAATCGTAATTTCAAGTTACCCTCCATGAAAATATGACAATGCCCGATTTACAACAATACCCGTGAAACCTTAATCTGATCAATAATGTGGAAGATATTGTCGTTTTTCAAGGTTTAAAAGTGTTTAATTCTGCTCATTTATAAATGTATTCCTGCAGTAGAAATGCATTGCACAAGTTACTTTTGTAAAGAAGCCAAATCTGAAAATAATCAGTTTCCTAAATTATTAACATCTAATTAATACTTGAGTATACAAAGTAATTTAGTTTCACTAGTAGTTTAGTTTTTACACCAATAGCAATTTTTGCCATGGGTTATTCGGAAAAAGACTAATTTACATGTCATGAACTCCAATTTATTACAATGATACTGAAACAACAAATATGGCAGGTTTCAAAGACCCCCTTTACTTTATTAGCATATTTTATAGCAATTATTATTTACTTTAAAAGTAATTAAATACACATGAGCTTGCTGAGATGTCGTCTTAATATCCCTGTGTTTTATTTACAATATTTCTACACCAATAGCAATACCCTTATAAATTCTGTGACAATCAATCCCTTTAGAGCCTCGTGAAATCTTCTACCGATCTCATCATGCTTATACAACCCGACAACAACAGTTTTTAAAGAATGCATTTAAAAATGTATATTTTTATCTTTATCTGTGGTTCATCTTGCATCTTGTTGTTGCCGTCCAGTATACAGTTTAAAAACAGGATCTTTTAAACTTTCTTTTAAACAGAAGAAAAAAAAGCAATGTTGGTTTTATGGNCCTCGCTAATAATAATATTAAAAAATTGAGATATTATGCGTATTTTAAATCAGATAAAAATTCCTTAAATGATTTTAATAAAATTTCGGAAAATTTAGAATTTTTGCCACAAACTTGGATTTTTAAATCCCAATTTCTTTAAAACCAAATGTCGTATAGACCGTAGATATTTCAAATATGAATTATGAAAAATCCGAAACATGAAATAAAAACAAAAATATTCCTATGATAATTTTATTTATTTTTATTTTCATATATTAATATATTTAAGTAACAATAAACGGGCATTTTCTTTGTAGGAAACGCATTCATGGACTAGATTTGTTATTGGCAATTATTCAAAATACGTTTGTTAAAGGATCATTATACTACCTCCATAATAGGTCACAGTTTCGGCAAATTAATAGTGATGATTTTTCCGGGTTTTTATAATTTACAGAATATTTTGGATATAAACACTGATAAATTTATTGAGAGGCGTATACATGGGGAAGAGTGCTATTGGAGATCAGCCCCCCCCTGGATCAGTGAAATCTATGGATTCTTCAATCTTCAAAAAATCTTTTTGCGATCATATGTCCTTATAAAATACTGTGACACAGAGGTACTTTCATAGACTGAGACTCAAACGACGACCTGCAATTCTTCTGGTTTACTTAAGTTTACTATAGTCGTATCTGAAGTCTCATCTGTTGTAAGTAAACTGGTGTCATACAATGGTCGGCGATTATATCAATACAATGTTAATAAAGCTTTGATTCAATTTTCTAAATTACACGTTTACAAGTAAACATAGTTAATTGGCACATTTTATTTTTTAGTAGAAATCAATATAAAAATAGAACGTCGTCTTCATTGTTTTGATATATACAACGACTTTGAATAAACTGGTTAGTAATACTTCATAGGTTAAATATATAATAGATATCATAGAAAACAATAAATTTAAACAAGTCGACTAATAGAATTCAAATTGTTAGTATACTAAATCTATAAAATGGCTCAAACACATGTAAATTCTCTATTAAAAGGGTCACACCACAATAAATTTAAGGAAAATGGCAACTTCCACATTGTACAATTTACATTTAACATTGAACATAGTGTATAGAAGGTCACTTTCTCTGATATCCTGTTAACGTCCAAGATTGACTAGCTTAGTATCATTTCATTCCGTATCTTCAACTATTGAAAAGGTATTAAGTCTTTGCCACAAACTCGTATTTTCTACTTATTATATCTTTGCAACCCAACTTAATAGACCTTATATAATCTAAGTTTGCAAAATCAAATGTGTACGCCACCAGGTTGCAAAGACATATGGGATTAGAAAATTTAAGTTTGTGAAAAAAAACTCGGTTCCTTTAGGCAGCTTATGTTCAATTGTTCTCACTTTTAAACACATGCATCCTTTTTCTTCACTTTCAAGCTCAATTTTGGTCCAAATTCTAGTCATTTAACTCTGAATGTTTAGAGACAGATTTTATTTTGTGTTTAAGTTCTTATTTTTCCTGTCTCCGGGTACTTTCTAGAATCTCTTGGAACCTTCTTCTCCGTCCTAGACCTGGAACTAGGACCTGGAGAATATCACTCCTGCTCAAACACATGTAAATTCTCTATTAAAAGGGTCACACCACAATAAATTTAAGGAAAATGGCAACTTCCACATTGTACAATTTACATTTAACATTGAACATAGTGTATAGAAGGTCACTTTCTCTGATATCCTGTTAACGTCCAAGATTGACTAGCTTAGTATTATTTCATTCCGTATCTTCAACTATTGCAAAGGTATTAAGTCTTTGCCACAAACTCGTATTTTCTACTTACTATATCTTTGCAACCCAACTTAATAGACCTTATATATTTCAAACTCTGAATTATAAAAAATTAAATAAATTAAGTTTTCAAAATCAAATGTGTACGCCACCAGGTTGCAAAGACATATGAAATTAGAAAATTTAAGTTTGTGAGACTCGGTTGCTTTAAGCAGCTCATGCAGTTCAATAGTACTCACTTTTAAACACATGCATCCTGATTCTTCACTTTCAAGCTCAATTTTGGTTCAAATTCCAGTCGTTTAACTCTGAATGTTTAGAGACATATTTTATTTTGTTATTAACTTCTTATTTTTCCTGTCTCCGGGTACTTTCTAGAATCTCTTGGAACCTTCTTCTCCGTCCTAAACCTGGAACTAGGACCTGGAGAATATCACTCCCTGCACTCTTTAAAGTCTCAAGGGCAGTGTCTAAAACATATTTACAAAATAAGTAATGGCAAAATGAAAATTTTTTTGCCATTTTGATAAATCTGAGATATTAAAATAAAAGTCAGAAATATTTGTATTTCTAATTCCGTCAGAGAAAGAACTTAAGTATTCCGACGGTTTGAGTAAATAATTCCTTTTTGGGATATCATGAACTGATAAACAATCAAAAGTGCCCCTCCATTTTCAAAGATAAAAGCGTGGAAAATTACGGTAACAGTCCCTTGATCGTTCCAAATAAATAATTTCAGCTTTCGATATCGAAGTCATGCTTAATAGAATAGCGTGATCATATTCAGGAGTTTCGATATCGAAGTCATGCTTAATAGAATAGCGCTATCATATACAGGAATTTCGATATCGAAGTCATGCTTAATAGAATAGCGCTATCATATACGTACAGGAGTTTCGATATCGAAGTCATGCTTAATAGAATAGCGCTATCATATACAGGAGTTTCAATATCGAAGTCATGCTTAATAGAATAGCGCTATCATATGCAGGAGTTGCAGTCTCAATTGCACCATGATGAGACTGTATCTTGAATTTTATTAATAATTATATTTTTTAATTTGAATTTTATCTTAACCACACATTCGAACAAATTGTCTTGAAAATGTAACGTTAATTACCTGCAGTTTTCACAAATATGTTTCTCTCGTCCTTTCGTCGTCCGTAGGTATCTAACCCATAGTTTCCACTAGAACCTGATTCATGTGACGATATAAAATGTGAACCCTGAGTACTGTATGTGTTCGAGGGTTCTACGGAAACATGGTTTCCGTAGGAATCCAGGATTGGCTCAGGGCTTCCCTGCTCAACAGTGTACGCGGAGTCTGGTCCGTTAGATCCTGCATGGACATCCACACCTATAGACATATAGAGTATAAACCATAGATTAATAACATACAGATACAACACTAGATGTCGTCTTTTCAAGATTAAGGGATTTTTCGTTCCCAATAACCCTGAAGTAGAGGCCAAATAAGTTACGCGCATGCTCTCTCTCTCTGTCTTGTCATGCCCGTAACTCCATTGGGCTTCTGCCTCAGGGATATTGTTAAAGAAATACCCCTAAATCCTAAGAAGACGACATCTAGTATTCTATCTGTATTGTTATTAATCTATGGTATAAACATTTAATAAAAAAAATGTTTAAATCTATTTGTAAGTTAATATTTTTTAATATTCTGATGAAGGAAACTACATTAATTAGCAGTATTGTTTAAAGGAATTAAGTCTTTGCCACGAAGTCAAATATGCTAATCCCTATATTTTTTCAACCTGATGGTGGATACCAGGCACGATATGAGACCTGTGTGTATTTTGTACCTATATAAATTGTATTATCCTTGTGTAAAAATATTTACTTTATATTACTTGTAAATTTAAATGTAAATTGTAAATTCTCTGTGTAAAGGTTATATCCTTGTGTAAAAATATTTACTTTATATTGCTTGTAAATGTAAATTGAAATTGTAAATTCTCTGTGTAAAGGTCATATCCCTATACAAAATATTTACTTTTTATTACTTGTAACTGTAAATGTAAATGAAAATTTTAAATTCTCTGTGTAAAAGTTATATCCCTGTGTAAATTTATTTACTTTATATTGGTTGTAAATATAAATGTAAATGTAAATTTTAAATTCTCTGTGTAAAGGTTATACCCCTGTGTAAAAATATTTTCTTTATATTACTTGTAAATGTAATTCCGGTTTAAAATATTTACTTTTTATTAAGTGTAAATTTAAATGTAAATTGTTTTAAGATATAAAGTGAAACAACACCCTGCTGAAAATGAACCATCAGGTTTCAAGTCATAACACCTGATTTTTATCTTCGGAATATATTAATATGCAGGCTGCTTAGTTATAATCTAAATTTTCAGAAAATGCCACCTAGGGAATTTTAATTAAATCCATTTTAAAGAAATTGTAGAAATCAACATTTTTAAGTCTAAACTCAATCGTACCTGTAGGTTCAAAGATAAATCAAGATTATTCTGTGTTTTTTTGCGATATTTTTAGAACCGTTGATGGCAGGGTCCCCAAATTTTGTGAATTTTTCTTTACAGTCATAAGACATGTTTTAGCAAAATTATCGAAGCCTTAAGTGAACTGTATAATTGCCTAATTACTGCCTAAAAAAGACTTTTAAAAGTAAAATCAGTAAAAATTACATCAAAAAAACTTTTTCGGGCCGCATTTTAACAGTAAGGCTTAGGGGTTTGATTTTTTGCTACAATAGGTTTCATGACTGTTTCATGACTGGAGGACCATGTGATTATTGTCAAAAATATTTTACACAGAGATGTAAATTGTACACAGAGATTTTACAATTTACTTTTACATTTATATTTACAACCAATATTAGGTAAATATTTTGCACAGGAATATGACCTTTACACAGAGAGTTTACAATTCAATTTACATTTACATTTACAAGTAATATAAAGTAAATATTTTGCACAGGGATATGGCCTTCACACAGAGAATTTACAATTCAATTTATATTTACATTTACAAGTAATATAAAACAAAAATTTTACACAGGGATACAACCTTTACACAGAAATTTACAATTTACATGTAAATTTACAAATTGTATAGGTACAAAATACACACAGGTTTCATACCAGTCCTCTAATGTCATGGTGTACACCTTTGATATTTCAAGCTTAGATAATTTAATCATATATCAGAGTTCATAGTTTGAAATATCTAAGATCTACGACATTGGTTGCAGAGATATAGAGATTAGTATGTTTGATTTTGTGACAGAATTAGACTCAATTCTTTCAAGAATCTCGATAAAAAATAAGTTCTGTAAAGTTAATTTTAATACAGTACGGTTATTAGTATTCGTCTACAAATAAATATTTTTTAAATAAATGCAAAATAATAAAAAACTTGGACACTGCAGTGTGTTGAGGACACACTAAAGTGTGACATAAATACACCTACATATGTACAAAAATACATTTCACCTTCATTATAGTTTTTCGTGTGTACTGTTTTTATACAAATCTACTTCCCTGTACCTGAGTATCCTTGTCTCACTGGATATCCGGCAATATCACCATAATCAACCTCCAGATCTCCGTACCCAACCTCGTGACCTCCGTACCCGTGGCCTCCATACCCAACCTCGTGGCCTCCGTACCCTGTATCTATATGGTTGAACCCATCCGTACACTGAGCCGAGCCTAGATCAGGTTCCGGGGGGTATTCCAGGGGGAAGGGGAGGCATTCTCGTTGCTCCTTCTGTACAGGAACATCCTATACATAAAACCGGTTTATCACAGAGAAATCAGATACTGAAGTACAGTGACATCCTGAACATATAAACCAGTTTATTACTGAGAAATCAGATACTGAAGTACTGGGACATCCTATACATAAAACCGGTTTATTACAGAGAAATCAGATACTGAAGTACAGTGACATCCTATACATAAAACCGATTTATTACAGAGTAATCAGATACTGAAGTACTGGGATATCCTGAACATATAAACCAGTTTATTACTGAGAAATCAGATACTGAAGTACAGTGACATTCTATACATAAAACCGGTTTATTACAAAGAAATCAGATACTGATGTACAGGGACATCCTATACATAAAACCGGTTTATTACAGAGAAATCAGATACTGAAGTACAGGGACATCCTATGCATAAAATCGGTTTATTACAGAGAAATCAGATACTGAAGTACAGGGACATCCTATGCATATTTTTCACAGAGCAATCAGATGCTGATGTACAGGGATATCCTGTACATAAAACCGGTTTATTACAGAGAAATCAGATGCTGATGTACAGGGATATCCTGAACATATAAACCGGTTTATTCCAGAGCAATCAGATACTGAAGTACTGGGATATCCTGAACATATAAACCAGTTTATTACAGAGTAATCAGATACTGAAGTACAGTGACATCCTATACATAAAACCGGTTTATCACAGAGCAATCAGATACTGAAGTACAGTGACATCCTATACATAAAATCGGTTTTTCACAGAGCAATCAGATACTGAAGTACAGGGACATCCTGAACCTGTAAACCGGTTTATCTCAGAGCAATCAGATACTGAAGTACAGGGACATCCTATGCATAAAATCGGTTTTTCACAGAGCAATCAGATGCTGATGTACAGGGACATCCTATACATAAAACCGGTTTATTACAGAGAAATCAGATACTGAAGTACAAGGACATCCTGAACCTGTAAACCGGTTTATCACAGAGCAATCAGATACTGAAGTACAGGGACATCCTATACATAAAATCGGTTTTTCACAGAGCAATCAGATGCTGATGTACAGGGACATCCTATACATAAAACCGGTTTATTACAGAGTAATCAGATGCTGATGTACAGGGACATCCTATGCATAAAACCGGTTTATTACAGAGAAATCAGATACAGGTACAGGGACATCCTGAACCTGTAAACCGGTTTATCACAGAGCAATCAGATACTGAAGTACAGGGACATCCTATGCATAAAACCGGTTTATTACAGAGTAATCAGATACTTAAGTACAGGGACATCCTATACATAAAACCGGTTTATCACAGAGCAATCAGATACTGAAGTACAGGGACATCCTATGCATAAAACCGGTTTATTACAGAGAAATCAGATACTAAAGTACAGGGACATCCTGAACCTGTAAACCGGTTTATTACAGAGCAATTAGATACTAAAGTAAACATCCTAAACATTCTTATTCAAATTGCCCCACCAGACTTAAATTTGCCACCTTTTTTAGAATGCCACCGAATATTCATAATTTGCACCTAAATTGAATTTATTTGTATCCCCAAGTGTTTTGTAAATACACCCAACTTTCAGGTAATTATTCCAAAATTAAGAATTTGATTATAAAAAGCCCCTACATATAATTTAAAAATACCCTTAAAGAAAAAATGTTGCCTTTATAAAATGAATATTTAAGATTTCCTATACACAAATTTTCCCAAACTGAAAAAAGCACCCCAAAACAAAATTCGCTCCTAAAACAAAGATTTCAGATTTCCCAAAACTGAAAATTGTTCCCCAAAAATAAAATTTTACGATTTTTTCCCACACAAACTTGCCCCAAACTGAAAAAAAGCATCCTTAATTGGTAAGATAGTTTTTGCATGGTTGAGTATAATACTAAACTGGTGTCATACAATGGTCGGCGA